GTCGTCGTCTCTGAAGTTCGCGAGACATTTTTGCTAATTAAGCTGTGACCAAGGGAGCCAAGGGGGCGTGGCAGCCAGCAGCTCCTCACTCCCATTAAAAATGTCGCCCAGACATTAGCATTTTTATATGGGGAATATTGAGAGAGGGAGCTGCAGCGACAACGACGAGTTTATCTGGTCAGAGTTTATGTCTGGCAGCGGTCACTACTTAGTCTGATTATTGTTATTATGGCGACGTAGTTTTCATAAATTTCCAGCAAGTTATTTTCCCATAAATTCCTGCAGGACACGCTGCCAGAGGTACAACGTCGCAAACGAGGGGCAGGATGGGCAGCCACCAGGTAAATGACGACGACAGCAAATGACAGACGGAGGTGGGAGGAGACAGGTGGTAAAGGTTGTCCTGTCAAGACCTAGACAGCTAACGAACCAAGGAAATAACAACTAAAAAGACGGTGACTATGGCAAATCTCTTGGCAGGACAGCAACAACCAGTAACCAGAGATGGGAGCCAACAGGGTATTTCTCGCAAAGGTACTGGGTATCACAACGAGGTACAATGTCACCATATTGCTTACTAAAATTTCACGAACTGCATTTGGTTGTACGGGAAGTTTTGCCCTATTTTTCCGTTATGTACCTAACTTTGTGTTCCGAGGATGGTATATTTTCATTGTACCTAAGGTACATGCGCAAACAATTTGTGTTGATTTCATATTACCTCGTACTTACAATACATCATTAGAGCAAGTTTATTACTAAACTTCTAGCTCCTACACATGAGTCGTTTTTTTTCTGTAGAAGCGAATGGATGTATACCCTTTCTACGCCATAACAAGTACAACAAAAATGGTACCTTTCTCATCTCTGGGAATAACCAACAAACGATGCAATGTCGGGACATGTGCAATGTGCAATGTCCTTTGGGTATACAATTTAAATTGGCATTCCACATGACAATATGTGTGGCAAAGTGAACGAGCCAACAGACAGGTGGCTAGCAGGTACCAGGTTCTTAGCCGCAGGAGAAATACGGGAAAAATGCGGGGCGAAAAATGAATTCGAAAGATGGAAAATAAGGAGAAAAAAAGGAAAATAAGACAAATAAGCATTGCGCATCGCGCAATCAGAGTTGATAATTTCCTTGCCGGTAAAGAGCGTTCAATTATCGCTTAAATGCAACCGGCAACCAGTAAACAATGAATTAGTAATGAGTTGCCCGCAACGCGGATTTGTTGGAAAATCGGTTGTCCGTTGCCTTTCGGCGCTGGCTTTTTCAAGTTTTTGCTGAAATTAGTTTTCCCATTTCGCTTTAAACTTTTATGAATTGTGCTGCAGCAGGCAGAAGTAAGAGTTAAGGCATTATGGGGGAAATTCAATTACGTTAAAGCGATTATGTTCAAGAATTTAATATTGAACTATTGAGTTGGCGTTGATAAAGCGCTATGCAGGATGTCCTTTAAAATAATGATATTAATAACACATTAAACACTCAATTTTGCGCAATCAATTTATAAGAAGCAAAAGGCATTTCGCAGGCCAAAGCTCTTTATAATATTAATTATGAAAGGAAAATCACCTGCATGGCACAAAATCAATTGTGGAGCAATCAAAGGATTTAAATACATTTGCTGAACACATAACTAACGCTTTTAATTGCAATTTGAAGAATATTTCCATAACGTTAGCTTGGTAAAATGCAAATTTCCCATAGCGTCAAATTCTTGGAACACTTAATAAAACACTTCAATAAAATTATTATACATATTTCGCCGTCACGCAACTTTTAGCATTCGGCCGAGCCATTAAAACTGGTTCGGGCACCAGGGCTCCTGCAGAAGTCCAGTCATCATCAATTCCATCATCTCTGATCTCTGGGGCATTTTAATGCATTCCCCAGCGCGCTGATTATTATGAAATGTTGTCGCTGTTGTCATTATTATTGCTGAAATCATCGGACCACTTCTCCGTCTCCGACTTTTTCTGGTTTTCTGGGCTGTTCTCCTTATCGCGGTTGCATCGTCATCGGATGTCTTGCAGTTCCCATCGTCGCCGGGTAAACAAAGCACTGGGAACTCTGGCCCGCAACGCTTCGATGGCGTTTTGTAGCCTGTTCCGCTGTCTGAGCCGACTCCTTTTTCCCCGGATCCCGATGCCCTGTACAGATACCCTGTCCCTATCCCTACCCCTGAACATCGCATCCCTTTTTCCTGCCCTTCGTCTGGGTCGACTATCAATTTTAGCACCTTTTGCTGGCATTCGACGCTTCGCGCTGCTTTTCGCTTCTTATCTGGGTGTTGTAGCTACACAAATGCTTCCACCTTGGACGAGTCCATCAAGATCCCACCATAAACGTCACCTTGGGCTTTAACATACCCTTAGTTTGCACAAATGAATAAGCGAGTACACTGAAATAACTTTCTCTGCGCCTTTCGCAAGCTCTAGCTAAGAACTAATTCGTTATGTATCTTTTGCACTTTAATCGAGTGAGAAGACAGTTCAGTGGTATTAGGTATACATTTGTATACTTGAATTGATTTATTCCAGTTGGTAAACTGCTCTTCGATCACAATCTCGCGATCTCTCTGCCATCCTAGTTATTTCTGCTGCGTTGGCCAATTTATACGAGACGATCCACTGATCACTTTATAAGTAAGTATATCATCATTTAAACATGCTCCGCAGATGGCGATGCCATTGGACAGTGGACAGTGGGTAAGAATGGGTGATGCGACTTTGTCTTTGTCATCTCGGCTCGGACATGTCTCGTTTTTACCGTTTTTGGTGTCTGGGGAATGCCAAAAATGTTGTATGGATCTCTCCGAGAATGAGCCTCCGAAATGGAGAAGGGTGCTGGAGGGTGTGTGCCAGTGGCCAGAGCCGAGGCACCGAGAGCCTGAGAGCGTTTTGTACAGATTTGTTGGCCGGGAAATGAGCGGGTGATGGGGATTACGGGGCTGCCATCTCGTTCTGGTCATTTATATTGTGGAGCTTCTTTCAATCCACCCCCCCGCAGATCCGACCAAACCCCCAGTTCCAGCTCCAGCTCCAGCTCCATGTGCATGTGTCAAGTGGACTTGTTTAATAATTTATGATGAGGCCAAAAACGTAGATCGTGCGTTGCGCATTGCCGGCCATTAATCATGGCCAAGAAGGCACAAGGCAAAAGGCATGGCCAGTAAAATTGGTGGAGGGAGGACGGAGGACGGAGCAGCACGGGAACGGGACAGTTGGCTGCTGTAGTAAAAGTTCAATTACCCGCCAAATCAAAATTCAATCTGCTTGGCGAAGAGCAAAAATAAAGCAGGAAAAAGCGGACACAAAAACAAACAAAACTGCAAGAGCGGACCACAGTAGTTCGGCTGGGGAATGGGGAATGGGGTATGGGGTATGTAGCATGGAGCATGGAGTATGGAGCAGGGAGTATGGAGTGCAGCAGGGACCATCCTGCATATTGACTGTATGCCGTAGACTGCAATGTGGCAAAATCAAAAATTCCAAACGCATACGCCAGACAACCATGAAGTGGAGGAGCCGCACCGCACCGAACCGAACCGAACCAAGCTGAGCTGAGCTGAGCTGAAAAGACGACCAGGAAAGCCAAAAGCGAGTCATGTCATGATGGCGGGTGGATGGATGCGGCCAACTGATGGACGGAATTGTTGGGGCAGCGGCGCGGATCGGGGATTTCGGGCATTCGGGGATTGAGGTTTCGGGATCCAGGCTCCAGGTTCCAGGTTCCAGATTCCTGGTGGGGGGCACACGGAGGTTGCAGCGAGGCCACTTAGCCACGCCACAGATCAGATGACAGCGGCCCAAGACGCGACCAGGATAACAGACGGCGCACAAACAGGGAAAAATCAGAAGGAAAAAAGGCAGAGGCACAGGCACAGGCACTAGCACAAACCCAAAGCTGAAACCGAAAACAAAACCCAATCCCAATGCCTGGGAGCAAAACCAATAAAGGCAGGTCAACACGTTTCGGGAATACTCTGCCCGCTGAATCGATTAAAGTTGATCAGCTACTACTCAAACTTACGGGAAGTCAGTTACTTGAGTTCGCTTCAAAACATTTACCATAGCACTTCATCATATCACTGATGCTACTATGTTTCTTTACCTTTCTTTCTGAACGCTAAAAGGGATCCCATTTTTGTGTTAAAATAATGCAGACAAATTCAGCACAGAGGGTTAGCTTTCAGCTGAATAAGCAACCGAAAAATATGTATTTACCCGAAGCGCTTCCTGATCATATCTGTGTTTGGTGGACATCCCTGATATGCAGATATGCTAAACCGACAAACCAAAGTCCCTGACAAAGTTGATGGACATGCCCCCTCGCGGGTTTTTAGCCCCCATGCGTGAGCTACCCACCCGCCCACTCAAAACCCCGCTAAACCGACCTATTCTCTGCGCTCCGGCATCCCCGCTCTGCCATGTCCATGTGCCCATGTGCGTTGGAGCTGCCACGTAGTAGGTGCAAGCATAAGCGCTACTAATCTGCTACTCAGTGGCGTATCAGGCTAAAGGCAGAAGTCGAGGCATGCTACCAAACAAAACCAACAAGCAAACAAACAAACGGATGAGCCAGCCGGTCGGCGAGTGGGGCAAGCGGAGCGGAGTGGAGTGGGGCGACAGGTCGTGTGAGTGATCAGACAGCCACAGATTACGTATACGCCGCGTTGAGGAACAGTTCTGGCCACTTGGCCGGGTACTAGCTGCCATTCAAATTGAAATAAATAATAAATAAGTTAGCTGAACGTATCAGGTTAAATTAAAACAGACACGTTTTTCAAGTATATTAGAAAAAATTGCAATTATACTAGTGAATAATGCTAAATAATAAATAATTTTAAATAATAAATAATTGTAAACAGAAAATAATTCTAAATAGTAAAAAATAGTAAATAATACTAAATAGTATAAAATACTAAATAGTATAAAATACTAAATAATAATACTAAATAGTATAAAATACTAAATAGTAAGAGGTGCCCTTCTCTGCGCTTCTCAAAAGTCCTACCTAACCAAAGTACTTTTTCAAGCCTCAATGTGTTTTTTTTTTTAAATACTAATAATTTTTTTTAGTAATACATTTTTGTGGTAGCAGAAGAAATCAATATTGTGCGTTCGATAGTGTTCAGCAGCTACAACCAGCTGTCAGCTCTGACGTGGAAAGAGCTTGAGGAAAAGGATAAGGAGCTGGGGGAAATGGAGATGGACGCTTAACTTGCTGACTTTTGGCTGCGGCTTCTGTGGCTGCTGCTCCTACTGCTGATGCAGCTAACGTCGGGAAAAAAAAGTAAGTACCCACTCTTCTTACTCGGGATGCTTTTCTTACTCTTACTCGAACTCGTATTCGTACTCGTACTCGTACTCGTACTCGTACTCGTCTTTGATGCTGGGGAATCTGCTTAAAAAGTCCGCTCAGGTTTTGTCTGTGCCGCAGCCAGCCTTCATTTGTTATTCAAAAGTTTCTTGCTTTGCACTCCGTATACTACTCCTGTCCTGTGCCTTTATTTATTTATTTTATTTGCCTGATTTCATTTCATTTTGTTTCATTTCATCTCATCTCAACTCGTTTCATGCCTCACGTACGCAGACAGTGTCCGAAAAGCCCTGCTTGATTTTTTCGCATACTCTCTTCTCTAGTTTTGCGCTTGAAGATCCAGCTAAGTGCATCCAATTTTGGCCACCGGAATTCCCCAAAACGTCCCTGGAATTTTTTCCATTAAGATGACGGGCAGAATAAGTGGAATGCCATGTGGGAATGGGCATGTTGGAATAAAACAAATTAACCAAACTGAGAGCCCGTACCGAAATGCATACAAATGTCTTGACTTAATGGCTCTAATGAAATCAAGCTATCAAACATTGAGTTGGCAATCAAAATATTTCAACATTCCATCTAGCAGTGGAGTAATTTCGGACTGAGGATTTGCCATCTTTACTAAATACCCATCAATACCAACAATTTATAGAGAATCTAATCAATTGCGCTACACCCATTCGAATTTTACTGCCCGCATGGCGAAAATTGGTGGAAAAAAATGGCACATGGATTTAAATATTTATAGAACAGCGCACGCAAAAACCTTTTAATATGTTTTATCTTTATAGAACTGGAGTAGCAAGTTCAATTGCCACAAAATATAGTCATGCCAATGTGTATATGCACATCGGTATACATTTGATTTCATTTGCGAAAATTGTTTGATAAGCATTTTCCCGTAAACAAAGGGAAAAAAGGAACCGGAAAATTTATGAGCAAACAAAAATTTTGTTTGCACTTTTTTTTTTTTGATTTTTTTTTCCATTTTTGTTGCGCTATACACAATTTATGGCATACAGTTTGTGGTATTTATTTTAAAACAGATATTGTAGTTTGTTTTTATTTATAAAGGCAGATAAACAATAGCATTGACAAGTAAAAAAAAAAAAAACGCTTTTTCGTGGTATTTCTTGATAAGCATTTTTTGCGGTCAGATTATTAATTTCGCCATAACCAAAGAAACTGTAGCCGCGGAAAAGTAATGCAAAAAATGGGCGCAGAATAAAAAATAAAAAACAGGACCGCCCCATAATGATGGCTAAATATGTGTAAACACTAATTATGTTAATTATACTTTTTTGCATCTGCCTCTGCCAGCAATTATGCTAATTGTATTTTCAATTATTATATGCTTATTTATTATTATTTCTCAGCTTGCCCTCGCCCAGTCTCCATTGTTGTTGCCGTTGATTAAAATTATACAAACGAGACTCGATTTATGAAAAATTCAGGGGCCCACAAACAAAACAAAAAAAATATATTTATGAAAAAGGAGAAAAATGCCAACCAGAATTACGCTGCCTGAATTTTAAGATGATTTTATACTCGGTCATTCGTTTGCAGCCGAAATTAAATTGATTTTGCCTCATAGGAAAAGGGGCGTGGCCCACCGCCCAACGCCCACCGATTACAATGGCAGTCTGGACATATAATTACACCCACATACACACTCGGACCTGCTGCCAGACATAATGTATTCACACATATTCATTAAATAATTATGTCCATAATTAAAAACCAGGCGAAAGGAACGGAGGAGCTGCGTCTGGATTTAACCCGGAAAACCCATTCGGAAATGAAAGTTTTCCCTCGCCTTTCTGACGCTTTTTTCACACGTTTGCATAGTTTTTCCTACTTTTGCACATAATTATATGACCAGATTAAATGTCTATTAACTTATGATTCGAAAATGATCGTAAAGAGGTGGTAGTGGAAATGAAATAATAAAATAAAAGCGAAGAAGAAAAAATGCAATTTAATGGATATTGTGTGTTTTGTGTGTTGAACCAAAAAAATGTACTTAAATACAGATAACTTTTCAACATTTTTGTTGTTTTTATGCGTTAAAGTGCACTTATGCTTAACAATTTTTATATTAACTTAGCATACACAAATGCAGGTATTTTAATGCTATTAGCTAATTATTCCTGGCTACATATATATTTTTAAGTAGTTATTTTAATTAGTTAACTGGTTTTTAATACTACAATTCTCTGCTCCGCCTACTGCCGATTGAAAAATGCTTTAAATGCTGAGAAAATATTTGATATAAGCTGAACATGCAGCTGTTTTATTTTCTGCTGCTTTTTCAGCTTCCTTTCCATTTTTTCCGATACAATTTGAAATTTTCTTGACTTGAAGGGCTTATGGTGTTTATTAGCGCCACCTGGCATGTGTTAAACGATAGCAGCTGCCTCCGATCTATAGTATATATATATACGCACTGTTTATATGGACTGAAACCGAAGGCAGTTCATAATTGCCAGCAGAACGAGTCCATTTCCATCAATCTGGCCATTCTGTTTCATCTTTTCAGGCTTCCTCGCGATTATTGTACGTTTTTTCTCGATTTTTTGTATGATTTTTTGTATTCTTTTGCGAGTTTTACCCAGGCAGTGCCATCTTAAAATTGAAAAAAAAAAAAAATTGACGCCTTCGCCTGGCATTTGTTTAATTAAAGTGATGACCTCCCCGCACCGACTGCGTCCCGCGGCGGCCAAGTGAAAAAATCAGAAGCCGCTGGCATTATTTAAAATGCAACGCAATGCGGCGCTCGAAATGCAATCAATGTGAATTAAATTCCCCAACTGGGACCAGCACAAAGCGTGTGGTGGAGGCTGGTCTGGCAAAGGCGGGGGAAAATCCGGGGAAAGTCGGGCGAAAAGTGGAGAAACGACAAGGGAGGGGCGCTGGAATCAGAGTCACAATCCGAATCAGAATCCGGCGCAGGTCAGGTCAGGGATTGGGGTCAGTTCAGTTCGGCCGCAAATATTTTATCCAAACTCCGTCAGAAAATGGAGAAAAATATATACAAAAGTGGGAAAATTAAAAAACAAAAAAAAATCTGCAGCAGCAGCAGAGGATAAAATCAGGAAAAATTTAATTGAGCGTAAAATATTTGAGGAGGCTGGGGAAAAATGCACATTCAAGGTGTTTCAGCAAAATGCTTTGTCAATGTTATCTCTGCTTTCGGCATTTGTTTATGCCATAAATAATTTGTAAATCGGCAAACTTGAACCTTTTCATCCGTCCTCAACTTTAAACTGTCTGAGCGGATTAAATCGCCTGCTGAATTATTAAGTTCATAAATAAGCGTTGGCATAATTCATACTTTTCATTTCACAACTCTCAATATCCAAGTGTTGGCTGTTGTCAAGTGTTGGTGTGAGCCACATTTATTGAACTTCAAATGAACTTAATTAGGTTTGCAGCTTACAAAGTAAAAATGCAATAGGTTTTGAATCAATTGTGCGAAACTTAATATTCCGCGTTATTTACGTGTTTACCTATTCCCTCCTAACCCATTTAAGTTATGCAATTTTAATATTTCATTTGCCTCCATCGCCCATTTAAGAAAGTGAAATAAAAGAATTCTTTTTCAATTGCTTTCACTTATTGTTCGCTGCTTTGATTTTTTCCCTGTACTTTGTTTTGTTTCGTTGGTCACGCAATTAATTTCTGCACGCAAAGTTTTGTTGGCTGAGTGAAACAATAGCCTTGGACGCCCTTCGCCCACCCCTTTTTCCAGGGAGCACTAGGCATTGTCTTGGATATTCGCAAACCCTGCCCCCCTTCGCTGTACTTCAACCCCCAAACTGCCGTGTGATCGTTATTATTAGAAAAGTTTTATGCACAATATTTTTCTTGTTCCTTTTGATTGTTGGTACTCTTGGGCTCCTCCGCTTTGTCTTGGCTACTTGTTGTTGCCGTGCTTTGTTTGCTCCTTCTCCTTGACCACCAACCACCCACCACCCACCACCCATAGCCCAGATCTACTGCCTGTTAACCCCCACCAGCCAACTGCTTAACCCTGGACTGCCAGCCATCATACATCGTTTATGTTACGTGACTTGTTTGCCAGATGAATGCAAAATAACAGACCCCGAAGGAATCGAAAAAAATCGGATGGAGATGGCTGGAAAACACATGTGTATGTGCGTGTGCTGTAGGTTGGAAAAACAGCGGAAAAATCAACAAAGAACAAAAAGAGAAAAGAAAAACAGTAGACCCAACAGAAAAATACATCGGGAGGAAACAAAAACATGAGAAAGAGCGAAGAGGTGGCTTTGATAATGAGACCAAATTAAGCAATGGCCCACGGGAGAAAGTAGAGGAGGTGGAGAAAGGTGGCCAGCCCTGCAAGGATTCAGCCAATTTGTCACACTAATAGAAGCCCATTTGAATATTTGATCGCAGTTTCTTAGCCCCAACAAAATTATCCCATGCCCTGCTGGAAAATATTATTATTTTCCTATTCATTTCTTGTCTTGAGTTCGATGTAACAAATAAAATGTTGCACAATTAAAAAAAACGAGAAAAAGATCATATAATCAAATAATATTTTTCCTCTGTGTACCTTCCCCTTTTCCCATCTTCTATTCATCTGAAGCATACCAACTGGCTTTTCCTCAATTTCCATCCAGCCATTTTCAACGTCGCACATTGAAAGCCAACTTTTTTCGCCAAACTTTTAATGTAAACTTCTCCGCTGTCTCCATATCCTTCGCCTTAATCATTTTATCGATTCGTGTTATTGTTGCCGCTGCTTGTTGCTGCTTTTAATGCATATTAAACAGATGTAAAAATTTACACTTCAATTACAACAACTTAAGCGTGAAATACAACAACAGCTGCAAAGGATATCCCAGCGACGGCAACAAAAACAACAGCGCCGGAATAAGGAAAAAGGTTGAGAACTGTAAATGTAAATGTAAACGGCCAGGGAAATCACAATTTAAAACGAAAGACAACAGCAAAGAGGGTAAATATATTGAGGAAAAACAGGAAAAAAACGAAAATACAACTATTGCCTATAATGCCATATTAATGCTATATTAACTAATGATCCTAATCACTTAAGATCCACGCTTTTCAGTTCTATACCCATACGAAATACACTGGACCCATCAGTTTCCGGTGCTGAATGCATTATTTTCGTACCGAATTCGTAACAACTGTTTGCCCAAGATGAAGGGCATCAAAAAGGATCTCCGACTTGTAAGTTGTTTTCGTTGAGGCTAAAATTACAAGTAATTGAACCTCAAGTTGATGCTCCGATGCCTTTTTCCGCTTTTGCTCTTTTTTGGTGGAACATGTGTGCGGCATCGGTGGCAGGGAAAAACAACAATACAAATTGGAAAACGGTTCCGAAGGGAAGGGGGTGTAACAGCAGGATACAATCCCGAATGCCAAAAAAAAAACGAAAAAACATGCCAAGAGATACCGAACATGATTTCATGGGAACAGGGTGCTGTGCACCAAGGGGCGTGGCAAATCGCAACAAAACCTCTGCGGCCCAGAAATAAAAATCAAAACAAAAAATATAAGCATATAAGAACATAGATTGTGCAAGCGAATGAAGAACGATCGGTAGCTGCGGATTTCTCCGCACATTTTTAGCGTAAAATGTTTTTCCCTTATCGAGATCATCGATCATACTTAGTCGGGACATGAACCAGCTGTCGCTTCTTCTCGTTCACCCTCATTTAACGGTAACCATAAACCGCCGGCCGACGCGACACGCCCACTTTGATGGGCGATTGGAGATCGAGCAAAAGGTGTTCGTGAGCCCCCTGCCCAACCCAAATTCTGGATTTCTGTACAGAAATCCGAGCCCGGAAGGGATCCCAATCGCAGAAGGGAACGCATTTTCGGTTCGGTTTCGTGTCAAAATATTTGGTGAGCAATTAAATGCGGTAAATAGGGGATAGCCACAAATCCGAAAATATCGCATGGTTCTCTTTGGCAATATATCATATCATATTTATTGGGATTATATGTGGCATGGGATTATTATTTTGGGATTATTTATTTTATTATATAATAACTAATGGCTTTGCAAGGCGATTCCAATTTCATGCAAAATTGTTTCGCTCTTAATTGTAAAACTATTCTTGTGTAAGACTAAACTTCAAAATACTTTAGTATTTGGCAATAAGCCGGAAGTGTTGGCAACAGAAACCTGGTTCTGGTCAATAAATTGAAGTGGTTTCTCGATTCTAATAGACCCCCGCTCGCCCGTCCCACCTGCAAAGGGATAAGCCGCCACGTCTGGGGCATAAATTCAACTTATTTCTCACAGATTTCAATGTAAATATGCAAAATATTTCTTAGTACCACATTAATGCATCAGCCAAAGGCAGTGGGCAGAGGCGTCGCCCCAAAAGGGGGTTGCGGATTGGAGATTGGGGATTCTGACTGGGTTCTGGTTTTCTGGGGTGTGACTCGCTTGGCTGGGCGA